GAGAAGGACTGGGGTGTAGCTCAATGATTTCTGGGTTCAACCCCCAGTACCGCAAAACAAACTTAAAAAAAAAGGCCAGGATGTAGGGGTGGTTTGTGGATGCACACGTGTGTGGTATGTAATACGAGAACAACCACCCTGTAGGAAAAGCCATGAATTCTGGGCAGAGGGAACTCAATCCAGGGGTGAGGGCATGTAGGGTAGAAATTTAGGGACCGGCATACAGCAGACGCCTTATCTGGGTTTCAGTCCTCCATGGTAAATCCAGGCCTGAGATGTTAAGTGGAAAGGTCTAGAAATAAGATTTAAAAACAAGGTCAGGCGTGGTGGCGCACACCTGTAATCCAGCACTCGGGAGGCTGAGGCAGGAGGATCATTGCGAGTTCAAGACCAGCCTGGGCTACAAAGTGAGTTCAAGGCCATCCTGAACTGCATAGTGAGACCCTGTCTCAAAAAGACCAAAAAAATCCACAAACATTTAAAAACAGTATGCTATATTTAAGTCATAGTATACTTAGACCCAGGCATGGTGGTACATATCTGTAACCTCAGCACGTGGAAGGCTGAAGCAGGAGAACCACCTTGAGTCTGAGTTCACCCTGGGGTCCACAGTGAATTCAGGGCCAGCCTGACCCTGTCTCCAAAAAAAAGTATTTTTATTTTTTTATTTTTTATTGTTTTTTTTCTGGTACCAGGAATTGAACTCACAACCTTCCGCTTGCCAGGCAGGTGTTGTGCCACTGAGCTAAATCCCCAGCCCCAAAAGTATTTTTAATTATATACTAATATTGCTATAATTGTTCTATTTTGAGTTGTTAATCTCATACTCTGCCTAATTCATCTTTTTTTTTCCCCAGCAGTAAGGATTGAATCCAGGGCCTTAGCACTGAGCTACACCCCTCCCCTTTATTTTTTTGTTTTTGAGTCTAACTAAATTGTTGGGTTGCCCATCCTGGCCTCAAAATTGGGATCCTCCTGCCTCATCCTCCCAGGGTACTGGGATTACAGGCATGTGCCACCATGCCTGACTTCACCTTTTTTTTTTTTTAAAGGAGGTTTTTCTGTGTTTCCCAGGCTGTCCTGGAACTCCTGGGCTGAAGTGGCCCAAGAGAGCAGGCGCCATTTTGGTCCCCAGGCTATTAGCCCACCCCCCCAGCTACATGGGAAGGCCCGCTGCCCTGCATTCCCAGCTCTGGGTCTGTTTATATTTTTTGAATGTCAGAGAAATCCAGAGCTGGACAATAGCTGAATTAGTGAAAACAAAATTTTCTGGTTCCTGGGATGGAACCCAGGGCCTCACTCACGGGAAGCAAGCACCTCCCACTGAGCCTCTCTCCTTTCCTGCAGAAACCGTCTTTATTCAGGGCTTGTTTGATGGCACGAAGAGACCCCAGTATGAAGTGAGCCCAGCCCAGCCCAGCCGATGGGGACGACAGCCGAGGCACGGGTGGGGGTCAGTGGATGGAAAATTTCTGCTAGCACATACAGGTGAGTGGGGGTTTCTGGCTAAACTGACCTAGCAGGACTCTTGCCGAAAGAGGGCTGGGCCAGGGACACTGCTGGGAAGAGTAGAGCCAATGAGGACCCAGGGACCAAGGATAGGGCTCCAGCAGGCTCTTTTTTTTTTGGTCTTTTTGAGACAGGGTCTCACTATGCAGTTCAGGCTGGCCTGGAGCTCACTCTGTAGCCCAGGGTGGTCCTGAACTCACAAGGATCCTCCTGTTATAGGCAGCTGAGTTAAATAGAAATATTATAGGCAGTCAGACAGGGTCAGGCCCTCGAAGGAGCCAACATGAAAGACAAGATACCTGTGGGCCAGACCTCAAGGAAAAGGACTAAACAAATGCACCTGTACCTCTCTAGATGCAAACATCAGGGATTGATATTCTAAATAGGTAGCAACCACCTTCAAAAAGCCAGAAAGAGTCACTAGCCCAACCCCCTACAGGAAAAGCCCCTATTCTGTATTCATGCCCGCTTGCTACATGACTGTTGCTTCCTCATTTGATCCCAGTTTACTCAATTTTATCTGAACAATTATACTTCTAATCTTACTGGCTGACCATAGTTTTGTCCCACCTCATGCCCACCTTGTAATTTCCCATTTTCCCCCTATCTTGGACCCACCTCACCTCAGGGTTTAGCTCTATAAAGTCCCTGGGAAGGGCAGAGTCCTTGGCAACCCACTTGGGCCCCCTTCTGTCCCTCTCTCGTATAGAAGTTTTCTTTCCCTCAATAAATATACTCTGCTCTTAACCTCCGTTGTTCCTAAAATTCATTCTTCGATTTTAGAGAATACAAACTCGTCTCAGATATTGTTTAGGTTGGGAGTTTTCATTTTCCTGTATCACTCCTGCCTCAGCCTCCCAAGTGCTGGGATTACAGGCAAACGTCACCACGCCCGGCTTTCCAGCAGGCTCTTGCTAAAACTGGACTTTATGAGATGCAGCGCAGGGGCCTAGGAAGGAGGTTCAGTAGCCTGACAAGGTCTGGGCAGGCAGGAAAATGGGGAGCCCTAACCTGGGGAGGGTGCACCCCTCTGTCCTCACTGCTCCTCCCCACTCCATGGCGAGCACCCCTCAGCCCTACTAAATAGAATCTTCACATCTTGGGCCAGGGATATAGCTCAGTGGCACAGCACCTGCCTGGCAAGCATGTCCTGAGTTCAATTCCTGGTACCAGAAAAAGAAAATCTTCATATCTTTCCCTGTGGGTGCACCCCTAACCGCTGGGATCCTACAGCAAGGATGAGCCCCACCCTGATCTCCAGGAAGAATCTGTCCTTGGGGTACAGGAAGGCAGGAGGCCCAGGTCAGGGTCCCAGAGTCCGTATTCGCATTCTGTTCACATCTGCTGTGTAATGAGTGTTCCTGCACCTGCATCACGCATCTGACCAGAGCCCTCAAAGCCCTCACCCCCGATCCTCATCTGCAGGGGGTGATCTGGATGGCGGAGGGGGCACAGGAGCTGCTGGAGGAGTGGGCAGCACCTATCCCTGCTTCCTCCTGCAGACAGTTCCCAGTAGGAAGGAAACAGACTTTCATGACCTTTGCTTTCTGACCTTTGCCTGCACTGGAACAGAAAAGGCAGCCTGGGGCAAGTTTCAGAAGGGAATTAGGAAAGGGGTGCAGCTGGGAGCAGTGGTGCACACCTGTAATTCCAGCACTCGGGAGGCTGAGGCAGGAGGATAGTTAGAGTGTCAAGACCAGCCTGGGCTACACAGTGCGCTCAAGGCCAGACTGAACTGTATAGCGAGTCCCTGTCTCAAAGAGGCACAAAAAAAGAAAAAAAGAAAGGGGTGCAGATGACTCCCCAAAGGCATCCACCTTCAGCCAGAGACTGAGGGCTGAGGACCAGGGGTGAGGACCAGGGCTGAGGACCAGGTGGCAGGGGAGGGGAAGGTCATAGAGGTGTGCAAAGCACCCAGCACCTGTGGGCACCTCTTGGGGTCCTGAGCCAGAGGGGGGCACAGGTTCCAATGACCCAGTGACTGCAGACCACAAACAGAAGTAGAGTCCTGATGAAGGGACTCTAAGACCAAGAACCACATCTGACGTTGGGAGTGGTGGCACTCGCCTGTAATCCCAGCACTTGGGAGGCTGAGGCAGAAGGATCTTTGAAGTTCGACACCAGCCTGGGCTACAAAGTGAGCTCAAGGCCAGCCTGAACTGCATAGTGAGACCCCGTCTCAAAAAGATAAAACAAACAAACAAAAAAACAACCACATCTGCCCAAGGAGCTCACCCAGGGACCAGGGAGATGGTGGCTGAGACAGTGGGTGGCACTGGAAGGACCAGATGTACTCCAGAGAAACAAGAACCCTGGGCCCACTGCCAGGTGTTCTGCAGGTGGTAGATGGGGACCACAGAGGAGTGGGGCTGGGGCAGGGGTAAGGCTCCTGGGGGGCCCAGAAGATGTTGAGGAGACTGGGAGTTGTAGGAGGGAGGCAGACTTCTTTAGGGAGACAGAGAGAAAGACAAAGGAGTGTCCACCCTGGAACCTGAGCCTCACAGAGAACTTTCTAGGAGACACGACCACCAGTTTTGGGATATAGAGAAGCCGAGAAAGCCGAAGCCCAGATGCACCCATGAGGTTTGATGACCGGGTCACTGGACAGGAGCGGCACTGCCCAGTGGATGGGAGCCACTGGATAAGGGCCAGGGTGGGCTGCTGGCTCTACAGGACTTGGAAAGAAGGACCCCTCTCTAGACAAAGGACCCCTCTCTGGCACAGAGGCTCAGGGCTTCTGGAGTTCTGAAGGAAGAAGGTGCCTGGGGGTGGGGGCAGGAAGAGACACCGGCAGGGCCAGCGGGTGGCAGTTGGCTGGGGCGCATCGGCTGTACTGTAGGGACTCCAGGGACAGGACAAGGTCTGAGACCTCGGGGGTGACCCAGAAAGGGCTACAGGGGCTCACCTGTTCTGAGACCGGAGGAGCCACGTCCCCTGACACCACCCCGCCCCCAGCTGCAGTGCAGGCGCGGTGTCTAAAACAGTGTCACCCTGAGCCAGGTGGGGGAGAGAAAAGGAGTCGGTCCTTCCTGACATCGGGAAGTGACCAGGACGCGTCAGGAGGAAGGGGAGCCGAGTTACACCGCCTGTGGGGTGCCCTCTCCACACACGCACAGGTGTCCCTGCTCTGAGGGGCTGAGGGTCTGCGGGGCAAGGGGCCAGGGGCCGGGAGTCGCAGAGTAGTCTGCACATCCAGGGCGAGGGTCCGAGAGCCACCC